GTTAGTACTTGGATGGGTGACCGCCTGGGAACACCGAGTGCTGTAGACTCCTTTTTGCTGGTATTTCCCCTTGATTTGAGAGAAAGACCCGTCAGAAAAATTCCTATATAATGTCTACGGCCATACCACGTTGAAAGCACCAGTTCTCGTTCGATCACTGGTTAGTACTTGGATGGGTGACCGCCTGGGAACACTGAGTGCTGTAGACTCCTTTTTGCTGGTATTTCCCCTTGATTTGCGAGAAAGACCCGCCAGAAAAATTCCTATATAATGTCTACGGCCATACCACGTTGAAAGCACCAGTTCTCGTCCGATCACTGAAGTTAAGCAACGTCGGGCTCGGTTAGTACTTGGATGGGTGACCGCCTGGGAACACCGATTGCTGTAGACTCCTTTTTGCTGGTATTTCCCCTTGATTTGCGAGAAAGACCCACCAGAAAAATTCCTATATAATGTCTACGGCCATACCACGTTGAAAGCACCAGTTCTCGTCCGATCACTGAAGTTAAGCAACGTCGGGCTCGGTTAGTACTTGGATGGGTGACCGCCTGGGAACACCGAGTGCTGTAGACTCCTTTTTGCTGGTATTTCCCCTTGATTTGCGAGAAAGACCCGCCAGAAAATTTCCTATATAATGTCTAAGGCCATACCACGTTGAAAGCACCAGTTCTCGTCCGATCACTGGTTAGTATGGGACTTCCGGTTTGGTGAAAATAGGAGTAAGACGTGAAATGGTATTGCTCTGATTAATCGCCTAACATCGAGTTTTGTGTGGATATTTTTTTGTAAATGATTACTGTAAGTAATTAACAAACACTTTTGTGACATTGTTCGATTTGAAATTTGTTTATAAGTGGACTGATTTAACATTTTTGGGGCCTTTGGCCCGGCTGGTGTTTAGCCAGTAAATCCGACATGGCGTCCGGTGTGTCGTCTGCCACAACAAACCTATTAATTAAAGACAATACGGTAAAGGTTATACTTTCTGACAATGTAAAACTGCTTGCTGCTGACGTTATAAAATTAGTTGAAGATAAACTTGGTGACGATAGCGTTCTTGCTATTGTTCCTTGTAATGGATCATATGATGTTACCGTCGTCAATAATAAATTAGCTAGTGTTATAGCACGAGATGGTTTGCTCCATGGCTCTGAAGGTCTTCATTGTAAATTGATAGATTCCAGAGTAAAAGTTGTGTCTTTCATGCATATCCCTGTTTATGTTTCCGACAAGGATATTGAAGTCAAATTGAAATCTTGGGGTGTGACCTCATGTGGTCCTATAATCAGAAAAACTAAGGACTATGATGGTAAAAAGAAGTATGAT